GTCGTCTTTGCCCGCTGCTTTCCAGGAGGGCAATTCAGATCCAGGGTGAGATCACGGTGCCCAGCAACTGGAAAATTCCAGAGGATACCGTGCTGCTTCACCAGGCTGCTGTTATCTTTGAGTGGAACGTGCTGAAGGCCTGCTGGAAGTCTTCCTCCTCCTCTAGCATCAGCGGAGGCTGACTCCGGCTTGGCACATGCCAGGGAAGTTTGTACACCAAATATCCAGCCAAGACGGCCCCATCTCCTCCTACTGCTGCCAGCGGTTCACGACCACACCAGTCTTGCCGGGACAGAGCTGGGCCCTTCCTGCGATTTACCCAAAATGATGAGAGACGGGAGATCTCACCGGGCTCCCTCCAGCACCCAGCTCACCCGGGGTGCAGGACAAGTCGTGCACGTGAGCTGGCCATGCCGCTGGGTGCCGTGATGTCTAGGCGTACGGATCTGCCTGGAGAAGGTAACGAAACAACAAAAATTAATTTAATAACCACTCGGGCAATGACAGCAGCATGCGCCCTCTGTCACTGCAGCCCGTGGGTGCTGCTCGCCGGAGCGGCGAACGTGCAGGGTCCAGTCCGCATTCAGGGCCGCTGCGGGCAGGAATCGCTTCTTTATCCCTCCCGGGAGGCTGTGGAGCCCCGAGAGCTTTGAAATTATTTGGGGAGCTGAAAGAATAATGCTGAAAGCCCCAAAATGCAGCACCAGTGCTCTGTGGCCATCGGGAACACCCTGGCCAAAGGGCTGGCAAATCACTGGGATTACTGGAAAACCTGCTGGCACATCACTGGGGTTACTGGAAAACCCGCTGGCACTTGGCCAGAGCTTTACGGGGTGATCTGGTGGGCCCTGCCGAGCGATGGGATGGGGGACGAACAGCCCCCGCTGCCAAAACCAACACCAATCATGGCAGGAGCACCCCTGAATTCAAGCATCCCATGTTGGAGGTTTTCCACATGCCACCCTCATTTACGTGGAACGCTAGGAAAATCAATTAGTCCAAGCTGTTTGGTTTGGTTTAATTTGTTGCAGCTCACTTCTGTTACCGTAACGGCACCTGCTCCCCAGAAGTGCTGCGGATAACAGCCCAGAAATCACCTTTTCTTTGTAATTACCCATTTCCAAAGGCTTTTAAAGCTGCTGGAAATTCAACCCAGGCTGAATTTCCCAAAGAAACGCTCCCACAGGAGCTGAGCTAAGCCTGCCTTCGACCTTCTCCCCCATCCACCCCTCCCTTGCTTCCCCCTCGTGCTTCTGCATGGGTGCTGCTTGCTGCCACCCACCCTGTCCTCATGGGTCCTTGTGCCACTGCTGCCCACGCCATGGTCCGAAATCTGGAAAAAAAGCAGGAAATCTCAATCTGGGATGCTGCAAATGTAGTTTTGAGGCTCCTGCGTGAGTGGGAAGGTCCTACTGCATCCCGAAAGCAGGCGAGTATCCTGGGGTGCTCCGGCACTGTCTCACTGGAGGAGCTCTCCCTGGGCTTTGGTGAAATAAAATAACCTGTGAAAGGACAAGAGCAGTTTCTAGTGATTTTTTTGGCATTTCTTGCTGAAACACAGCCTGGGCGCTGGCAGGGCTTGGGGACAGGCGCCGCCCCGGGGTGCGGAGACCCGGGTGCCTCTTTAGAGCAAGGGAGAGCAGGTCTGGGTGGGTGGCGGAGGCCCGGGGATGTCGGTGTTTGGGCTGCGATCCCAGAGCTGTGTGATCCTGGGGGAGATCCTGGGGTGCCAGTGACCTGGGAGTGATCCTGGGGTGCCAGGGATCCCTGGGTGCCGGGAATTCCAGAGGTGTTGGTGTTCTGTGGTGTCAGTGTCCGGCACTGTGGGTGCTCCCGAGAATTATCTGGCAGTGCCGGTGATCCCAGGGGTGTGGGAGATCCTGGGGGTGATGCCAGGGATGATCCAGGAGTGCCGGTGATCCCAGGGGTGCTGATGTCCTGGTCTGTG